TAAATATTCTGATAAATTAAAAAGCAAAGACATTACTGTGGACAGTGCCAGGTATTTTTTGCATGAACACATTAAGAAACAGATTTTCATTTCTTAAGGTCAGTAAGCAGTTGCTGCTGAAAGCTACACTGACGCATACCGCAATAGAAAGAGTTGCTCTTCTTAAAAGCTTAATAATCACTAACCAGGAAGATCTTCAGAAAACAAAAGCAGTCTAAGTCCCAACTTCAAGCAGTTCTGGACTACCAGTGCTTTTGAGAAGAAGGGCTGGGACAAGTTTGCTCACACTGACAATGCAGTCCCATGGAAGTCAATGAAAAGCTTATAGGGATACTGACAAAAAGATACAGCACAGCCCCCACGCAGGCACACACAGCAAGGTTTCTGCCCGCAACTGGGAGATGCATTTCATTGCATGTAATTAAACGAAGGCCAGGTTCTTGTGGCTGTCAAATGAACTCCATTTCTCCGTATCCCAAACAGAATAATTTAAAACCAGTATAGGGGTCCATCAAAGGAATGCCACACACCCACTGCTTTGCAGATCTCATTCCCCTTTATAAGCAGGGGAGAAAGCAAGGATCAATTGCAAGATGGGAGACTGCTGCATTGATTTTCAAACAGAATCTTCCATCAAAACCAATGGCGAGCTTGTCTTCAGATACCAGGGGAAAAAAAATACTCATATGATCTGAATTGTTCTGACACTTGAGCAAAGATAGACAACAGCCTTCTGTAAGGAACAAGCAGCTATCAGTCACACAGTGCTGCATGAGTAACTGAGAAGATCATGGACAGGAGGCAAGTCTGAGGATCTAACCTTTGTTAGCATCCATACATAGGAGAAAAAGTCTGAAACAGGATATGAGAACTGGAGCAAATAGAGTCTGGTCTGCAGTGGGGGAAAACAAGGTTAGTTTCATAAACCTGTCTCAGGTAAGATAGAGTGTTAATTATTCTACCTTTATGTGCAATTTTTCATCCTGAAGGGTCCCACACCTCACCAGTCTGACCCCAGCCTAGCAGAACAGCTCCTGCCTGCACTGACACACAGTTCACCCACACACTACAGCTGGAATGCCTATAGAAGAAAGCAAACACATCTGTGAAAGCGTAGGCAGGCTAAGGACTAGCAAGAGAACTGGTTTCACAGGAAAACCACCAGATAAAACTATGATGGGCTGTCTCATAAAATCCCAAGACTGACCCATTGTACACAGAGAGAAAATCCAGGAGCATGGAGCAATGATCAGCTTGCACTCGGTTACCCAGATAGCACATGGCAGGAGAGTGAAGATGGAAAATATTCTTAGCAAAAAGCTGGGGGAAATCAGCCATATACTGCTATATACCCAGCTATAGCAAACACTGTGAATTGTCCTTTTCTTTTCAGAAAAGGCTAGACAGGCAAAACGAAAACACACTGAAGTCCTCACTGTCATTTCCTCCCTGAGGAGCGAACAGTCCCCTAACTGCACAGGTATGCCATAAAAGCCAAAATCATGTCCAGAGTTTTCCTTGAAATGCTCCTGAGCACTGGAGAGCTGCTGCTCTTCACCTTCCCCCACCAAAGGGTGGTGGAGAATATTGCCATTAGGTCAGGACACCTAATTTGGGAAGGTGGGTTCCCCAGCATATCAATAATCTCTACCAGAATTCAGACAACTCAGTGGTGCATTAACAGAACAGCACATTTGCCAGTGGATTCTCAATAAAGATCAGGTATGGAGCAAAAAAGAGCAAGGAGTGAAAAGCACCTGATCCCCTTCCAACAGGCTGGTATTTGAGATACAGTGCAAGGGACACAAAAATCATATTCTTTTGCAAAGACAAGGCTAAGCTCACCTTCCCTGCTTCAGGCTTCAGCGTGTTTTTGTTGTTAGGAGGGTTTGCTTGTTTTTAAAACAAAGCCTCTGTTTACTATGTCATTTTCCTATTTATTTATCCCAAAGAAAAAAAAAAATCATCAGCAGAAATGTGTCTTTCTAATGTTTATAGCAAGAGACCCACATTCAGACCTCCTAAAATGCAAAATGCTCATCTAACAAATGAAGAGTTGCCTTGTCCTTGAGGGGGGTTGCACTCTTCATTTGGTGGCCTTCCAGCATCTTTCATCTTCACTGTCTCACACCTAAAACTGTTTGGAAAGCTCTGTAGGCAGAACCTCCTGAAATTCACCAAGAGAACTTGGAGAGGGAGGAGGGGGGAAGAAACTGTCAGATTTTGAATAAGGAGCTGACACTTGTTGCAAGGAACTGAAAGAAATTTATTTTCAACCTAAAAGGTTCAGGTGAGAATTTTGCAGCTAATTCTGACTGTGAAGTGCCTATCTTAGAGAGCACGGTAAGCTACCAGCAACAGTAGCGGGTGGCATAGAAAACATGTACTCCAGCGGGGAGCAGCCAAAATTTACAACCCCCCCACAACAAGGGCATCAGCCAAGATTTTTAAAGCTCTTAATACCTCCAGCCCCATCCTACCTGACATGCACTCTGGCCAGGATCTGCCTCTGGCAAATTTAGACACACAGCAAGAAGGGTAACCAACATATTGTAAAATAAGGATATAATGCCTCAAAATTATCTGCTACCTGAGGTATATCACATTGGCAGGTCTACTACCTCCCTCTCTTCTGCTCCTTCAAGAACTTCACATTAACCTATCATTTGCACCAACAAGATGGCAATGCATACAATCACACAATAGATACCTAGTGAAAATAGCTGTCTGAGCCTTATGAACCATACGTAAACTGAACGGCCACACTCTGTGAGGGTCCAGAATAGAATTTGATAGGTTTCTAGCAGTTTCCACTATAGAAACAGCCCACAGGAAAAAAAAAAAGCAGAATTGGTTATGATCAAATATGAAGATGAATGGATTGTGATCACATTTATTTCCAGATCTACTCCACTCACACTAACAACCTAAATATGCACCAAACAGAAAATGGGTGCAGATTATCCTCCTGGTGATTTCACAGCATCGCATTCCCTCTTTGGGGTTTATGGTAAATCCTTTGAATTGTACTAAAAATCTCAACCTATTTATAGTTTCACAATAGCATGAATACAAAGCCATAATCTCTAGCTATAGAGCATACTGAGAAATCTTAAAAGACGATTTTTCCACATTCAAAAATTTACAGAAGAATATTTCATCTTTCCCCTACTGCATGCTGAGTTACTGTTCCAGCAGTATAATTCATCTGAAACAAGGGGAAATAATGGCCCTCAGCCAAATTTTCCGAATATGTGTGCAAAGTATATTACCTATGGAATGCAACCAATGAAGATGCACTTTTATTGAACTAGTGAAGCACTGTTACAACCAACAGTTCTGCATGGTGCCCTAAAGACCTGAACTAAAGCCTTCCCCAGGACTGCCAGGAGCTGAGCTCTTCTTGGGAAACCAGTCAGCCCAGACCAGACACAGCAGGAAAGAAGAAATATGCCAGTTTTTCCAAGGAGCTGGCAGGTATTAACACAGATGGGCACCATACAAGAACACATTCATCAAGCAAATGATACCAGCTTTGGAGGAGCAGACAGCTGGCAGATAAACGCCAAATGGCACTTTGCTCCACCACAGAACAGCACATCTACTGATTCCTAATCCCAACAGCACACTAAGCCTCTACACCACTCGACTCCAAAAATTTCAAGGAAAAATAATTTTTCATCAACCATGGGTTGGTGGCCACAAGTGGGGAAGGAAAGAGTCACACGGAATACATCCTTCTTTTTCCCCCAGATCGAATCCCCTTATTTGCTACGGCTCTGCCTGTAGGCACAACACTATAAAGCTGGCAGGAGAATTTTACAGGTACAGCCGAGAGACTCGTCCTGCCGAGAAGTGTGGCCACTCAACCAACTGCAGTTCCTGGTCTGCTAAAGAAGCATCACTCGCTTAAACAAGCTTCACTCCCCTGCTCAGCTGTCAAGTCCCTCCAAAGAGACATTGCAATCGCTATTTCCACCTCATTTCTCAGGCAGGAAAGGGGGATGACAGGTAAAATCAGGTGGGTTTGGGTTTCCTTGCCATGCTGGATAAATTTCTCTGCCAAGCTGCACAAAGCAGGTCCACTGCAATCCAGGATGTAACAGTGCGTGCAGCAGACACCGGCATGAAGTTTCCGTGGCCCAAACCCCCCTTGGCGTGAAATCAGCAGCCGACCCACGGGTGACTTCCATGAGAGCCAATACCCGACACCGCCGGTACAGCTCTATCCCTAGTGTCTACCGTAGTCATAAACTGTTAGATGAAAGCAGCCAGGGGCTCGGATCAGCGCTGATCACACTCCGGTACGCCGACCCCGGCAACCTGGGCTGGTGCGGACGCCCATCCCCAGCCAGGAGCACCCCGGAGTGCCCCGTTCCCGTCCCCAGCCAGGGACACCCCCGGAGCTCCCCAGCTGCCCAAGCACACGAGACAAGGACAGGCCGAAGCGCCCCTGCCGCTGCGGACGGGACGAGCGGTCGCCGGTCCGGCCAACTCGGTCGAGCCGGAGCGAAGTTGACCGCCGGCGGTAGCGGGTGCCCCCGGCCGGCCGCAGTGTCCCCGACACCCCCAAAAACCTAAAAGCCGGGAAGCCAAGGGCCAGCAGCCCCGCCGGGGGACAGAGGGGAGCGGGGATCCCCGCTCGGCGGCGCCGGTCGGCCGCCGGTGCCGCTCTCCGCCGCAGCACGGTCGGCAGCCGGTGCCGTCCCCAAACGCGCGAGGTACGAGGGAGAAAAATAAGACATTAAAATAAACCAACTTTCCTCCCCCCCGCGGGAAGTTTCCTGCGGCGGGCGAGCCGACCTTCCCGCGGCTGCCCCGGGCGGCGACCGGGACGGGGCTGCGGGCGCTGCTCCTGCCGCCGAGCCCCGCGTCTGCCGCAGCGGCGCCGGGAGGCGAAAAAAGGAGCCGCCGGTCAGCGAGGGACTCCCGGGGCGCCTGTCACCTGCGCCGGCGGGGAGCGGGACCGGTGCGGTAGCGGTGCGGTTGCGGTGCCCTACCTGGGTGCAACATACTTTGGAAATAGAAGATGACGAGGATGAAGGAGCCCACGGAAGTGACCAGGACCATTCTGCACACCCGGTTCATCCTCATTACTTCCAGCACCGCAGGCTTCATGGCGTGGTCGGGCGGCGCAGAGAGGGGCGGCGGAGCGCGCAGGGCTGGAGCTTAGAGCCGCTCCGCTCCGCGCCCGCCGCGCTCCTAGCACCCGCCGCCGTGCCCGAGGATGCCCAGCCGCCCGCGCCCCGCACCGGGGGGCGCTAATGCCTGCGCTGGGCGTGACCACGCCGCGCGACAGGCAGAGGGGTGCTCGCCTCCGCGCGGGGGGGAGGAGGGCCAGGCGGGGAGCCGGGGAGGAGCGCGCCCCCCCCCCTCAGTAAGGGGAGAGATGGTCCCGCCCGGCGGCGGCAGCGGGCGGGTACGCGCTGGGCTGCCTCAAGGGCCCGCCGGCGCGGGGCGGGGCGTGCCGGGCGCGTGCGGCCGCCGCGAGGGCCAGCGGGCGTCGCCGGCGCTGAGGGAGGCGGCGGGACCGGTTCCAGCCCGGCACCGGTTGTCGCGGCAGGCGGGGGCTGCGGCCTCGCCGCCCTTGAGCTTGGCCGCCTGTCGGTCACCCTTGTACTCCTCAGGGGCTGTGGGGCAGCCGGTGAGGAGCGGGCTCCCCTCAGCCCCGGCCCGCAGTCGCCCCGCGCGAAGGAGGCTGTTTTGAGTTGCAGCGACAGAGGCTTTCTCCGCGCCCCGTTTGTGAGAGAAATTCAGTTCTCCCACTTCTCATGTGTGTGTGGTGTCTGTCACTCTGTTAATCCGCAAATGCCTTCTCCCAGCTCTTCTCCCGCTTTGGTATTAAGCAAGGCGTTATTTCGCAGCCGGTCGTTGTCGTCGCTTCTTCCCGGTGTTGTGCTGTCCCGGCCGGTAACTGTTTATATTGAGTGTAAACACTGACTTGCACTAGCACTGAATCATCCCTAACCAAAACAGTGCCACCTGGCATGCCAGGAATGAAAGAAAGGGGAGTTTGTGTTTAAAGTGGGAGACTTTTAAGTTTTCTGCATTAACTGATTGCTCGTTTGCCAGTGGAAAACAAAAGGTCCTTTCCGCCGCGGTCCCTCCGCCGAAGCCCACCGCTCGGTAGTCGGGGAGCAGCGACCGGCGGCGAGATGCGACACCGTACGTGGGTGGAATGCAAAAGAGCTCGGTGCAACAGAACAAAAGGCATCTGCCTTGTCCACGGTGAATCGGGGTTCGGGATGGCTGGGGCTGCCTGAGCGACTGCTGGTCAGCTCGGTCCTGAGTTAGGCTTCTAGCATTAACGCAAGTAGAGCTCCCACACTGGCACTGTCCACTCGCTCAGGACTAGATGGCGTTGGAAAGTACACTGCTGAATGAAATCAGCCTCTTGGCAGCACACCATTCATCCTTGTGCTGTGTTAACTGCTCTGTTTGTTCCTCTGATGCACCCAAATACCGGTTTGATATTGCTTGTCTTTTTGCTAGGGTGAAAATCATTTTGCTGATGCTGATACCATCTTCACATGTAAAAGGATTTTATTTCTTTTTCCCTCTCAGTTTTCTGCCTGTTCTTCCTCTGTGGCTGGGGGAGGGGGACTTTAAAATAGCCCAAAACAGACCCAGCCCAAAGCTGGGAAGCAAGTGGGGTGAAACAGATTTTAAGCTAAAACAATAAAGCCCTCAGCCAACAAAACCAAAATGTATGAGTATTCCTTCGTGGGTAATTGTGACAGAAACATGTAAAGTCATCACGGTTTTCCATTCAGTCTCAAAGCCAGTTAAAAGGATTGTACCTCAAGGATACAACAGTAATTAGGTAGAGGTTTGTAGGTTATTTAGGCATGGCCTAAAGTTCCTTTTTATGAGAAAAATTTCCATCATTCATTAAGGTTTTACACAATATTTTGTTTACTTTCAGTAGATTTTTTTCCAGGGTGTGGTTTGGTGGTGTTTTTTTTAGCAGTTTTGATACTTAGTGTCCATTTTCTAGTCTTCTAAAAGTGAAGGAAACTTGAAATTGATTTTTCTCTTTTAAATCCAAACCTCAAATGTAACACAAAAGCATTCTACGTAGAACACAGGTAAAGTACTAATATGTAACACATCAAAGTGGCAAATCTTTAAGTCAGCAGAAGTCCACCAGAAGTGCAGCTTGGCATTTCAGCATCTACCTGTCAATACATACACTGCAGCACAATAGCAACTGCAGTATTTTAACAGGAAGAACTGGACAGTATCCAGAAATCTGGGTAAGACATTGAAGGAGGAGGGCAAAATCTTAGAACTCAATAGTCAAGTAACACAGGAGCTTTATGCTGCTAGGGTAGGTGATCAGTTGCTCAGTGTGGCTTAACAATAGTTATTCTATTGTTTCTAAGTATCATCCTCTGATGGAACAATGGAGCATTTTAAAGCAGCAGGAAGAAAATTACCAGTTGTGTTGTCATTTACTATTAAAAAGACATTATAAAGTAATACCTTAATTATGGACATTACAAACTTAAAATTCCCCCACACGCTTGCAATGTCTCTGCAGATTTCAAACTATGACAACCTCTGTGATGGCTGGTGAGTCAGGACAATGAAATGCAGCAGCTTATTCTTTAGAGACTGAGACAGCTGTGCTTTGGTTTCTCTACAGAAAAGAGGATAATCGAGGAAACACAAGGAAACACAGTTGGCTTTCCAGATGGATGCCAAGTTATAGAATAGGTATACGAAGAGCTCAGGCACTTCTTCTGAAGCATACCTCTGAGTGGAAACTTCAGCAGCTGCAGAGCAGTGGGGAGTCCAGATAGTACTGTAGGTGTGATCACCTACCATTCCCGTGATAATAACCAGCACTATCTCTGAATAAAAATAGTCTCCTCATCCAAGAGGTTACTGGAAAGAAAGACTTAAAAGATTAAGAACCAGATGCCAACGACATCAAAAGGAGTCCAGGCAGTGTTTTGCAAATTGTTTTGTATAACAAAAGAGCTTTACAAAAAAAAAAAAAACCCAAACAAAAATAAAACACCCGCGTCCTTATTTATTGATAAGGCTCTAAAAATAACAAAACCACAGCTGAAAAACAGCACAGAGGGAAATACAGTGTGTAGTAAACTCAAGGTCCAATTTATCAAAAAATGGCAAGCAGGCTAATATTGAAAAGGATGTTGAAATATGAAACAGAAAGCCACCAGAAAACAGAGGTATCTGTGAGAAACAAATAGGCATCTGCAACCATTCATCTATAATGAAAGAATCTCAGGAAAATCACTTTGGTTTATACTGATTAGCTTCATCCTCTTCAAAATAGAAGGTAACATCTTTAAAGAATGTCTTCAAGGGGGGCAACTAGCAGTATTAAAGGAATATGCACAAGCTTTTAAGCATGCAAACTGCCTTCAGGTCTGAAACTGAACCAGCAAATTTTGGACTCTCTCTCCAGCAAATTTTGGACTCTCTCTCTCTGTCCTTAGAGCATTTGACACCAGTCCCATCACGACTCTTACCACCACAGGGTGAAGCAGTCTAGTTAGGTGGATCAGAAAACCTTCTGGACATGTCTTATGGTTACATTCCTGTGAGGATAGTTTTTAACTTCCTCTGCCTAAACCATCTATACTGTAAAGTACTGTAAAGAGACCAGGTCTTGGTTTTTGTCCCCCACAGTAAAAGCACATTGCTCTAATGATTCCAGCCAGTCAGTGGTCTTTTCATTTGGTCAGCTGCCCTAAACTGCACTGTCTTGAAGGTAGGAAGTCAAACAAAAGAAGACCCATGGTAGTGGTCAGGCACTCCCCTACCTCATACCTTGTAGGGCCCTGTAGTGCAACGCAGGATTGCCTATCAGTCAAAATGCATTTAGCAGTGTTATTCTGTTAATATATGATAACAGTATTTTAAGATAGTGATTCTGATCCCATTTAAAAAAGTCAGTGAGAGCATCTCTATGCCAGCTGATTTCAGTGGAAGTAGGACAAAGCTTATCCTCGTCAGCAATTCGCTGTGTGCATGAATAAAAGGCCACCCACCTGCAGGAAGCTAGCACCATAGAAAATTAAGAGATACTCCTTTCTGGAGCTAAGCAGATTTCTTGCCCTCTTCCTTTTCCCTCCAGACAAGAAAGCCCCCCTACCTAACATGTCCCCAAAGCTGGAAAATCTGTTGCATTTTGGAAATTCTTTGTTCTGCATCTTGCAATTTCTATGGTGATGCCTTAGGTAATGCCTTAATGCCTTTATACCCTGTGCAACCTGAAGCACTGAGTTAAAAGGAAAGCCCATGTTGCAGTGTCTAACTCTTGGTTAGAGGCAGATCTCCAGTGTCCTTCTCCAGGAATATAAGGGTTAGCTTTTTTTCCCCTCACAGTTTTTAAAATACATTGTTCTAGATGTCACACTGCTACCCAAGCTGGCTTCCTTCTGTCTCAGAGAGGATTTCATCATCAAGTTTGTGGCTTCTTGGATTGCATGACTCCCAGGTGATGCAAACCAGCCTGATGAGAGGCAGTATTTCTAAGAATGCAATGCGTATTACCTGAACAATCATACAGAATCACAGAATAGTTTGGGTTGAAAGAGATCTTAAAGCTTGTTCCAGCTTCCTGCCATGGGCAGGGACACCCTCCACTAGACCAGGTTGCTCCAAGCCCCAGTTCAGCCTGGCCTCGAACACTTCCAGGGATGGGGCAGCAACAACTTCTCTGGGCAGCCTGTGCCAGTGCCTCACCATCCTCACAGGTACAGAATTTCTTTCTAATAAAGGGTTCATACCTGGTCTGCGAGCACACTGAGCTGGGCTGCTAATGTCAGTTTCCTGACAAGATTAGATGAACATGCTTGTGTCTCTTAAAACCAAGAACAATGCTGTAGATTGAAATGACTTCACAAATGACAGAAGTTCCTGTTGTAGAACTAGCTTGATTTAAAGGTGGCAGAATACGGGATCATGGTTAAGTCTTACATGAAAGGACAGGCATACATTTTGCTTAACTAAATTCATAAAGAGAAGCACTTGGGAGAAGAAATACATGATGTATGAGTAGGACCTACAAGCAGAAGCTGTGGCTGATTCAGGATTACTGTGATATTAATTGCAAAGCTTGTAATTAAAAGACTCGTAGGATGTAGGCATGCAAGCGATTTTTAAAGCTTTTCTTTGAAGAATACAATTTCTAGAGGTGATGGATTGCTTACACCTCTGCCCACTGTGATCAGCAGCTGTAGTGGACCAAGCCCAGTGGTCAACATAATTGACTTTAGAGAAAACACCAGTAAGCCC